ACATCCGGCCGAGTAATAGTGATATATTGTAGAGACCCAACCAAGTGCCTATAGTTTTGTCCATCAGAATAAGTTCACTACCATATTTCGATAATGATACATTGGTAGCCATAGGAGTAATTGTTGCTTTACTATGAGACATGTGAAATTGCTGCAATAAATCATGAATATATTTGTGTTGAGAAAGAATGATACCCGTTGGTGAAGAAGTGACTTCAATGCCCAAGAAGTAATGGAGTAGTCCAAGGTCTTTAACAGGAAATGCAAATTGTAAAGCTTGAAGGAAAAAATTGAGCTTGTTAGGATCAGAACAAGTAATCAATATATCATCAACATAGATCAAACTGAAACACTGAATATTGCCATCTCTGAAAATAAACAAGGAAGTATCAGCTTTAGAGGCCTGAAAGCCAAGTTGCAGCAAGAAACCACTCAACCGTTGAAACCAAGCTCGAGGTGCTTGTCGTAGTCCATACAACGATTTCTGTAATTTGCAAACATAGTCAGGATGCACTGAATCAATAAACCCAGGCGGTTTAGTCATGTATATTTCTTCATCGAGAAATCCATGCAAAAAGGCATTAGATATGTCCAACTGCCAAATCTCCCATTTAAACACAGTGGCAAGAGATAGAACCGTGCGAATTGTCGTAGCTTTGACCACTGGACTAAAAGTCTCATTGTAGTCAATTCTAGGCTGTTGAGAGAACCCTTTTGCAACCAAACGCGCCTTGTAGTGCTCAATGTTCCCATTTGCTTTTCGTTTAATACGAAAAAGCCATTTGTTACCCACAATATTGGAATGAAGAGGACGTGGAACAAGAGTCCATGTATTGTTTTGGAGAAGTGCATTGATTTCACTTTCCATGGCCTATCGCCATTGAAGGTGTGCCTCAGCTTGATTAAAAGTCTTAGGTTCATGAGACAAATAATCAATCTGAGATGTAGAAAGAAGGGCTTGCCGTTTTTGTCTAGTAGAAGGATGAAGCTGCATAGGGTGAGTGCGGGCAGGATCTTGTTGTGGAACATATGAGGAAACATCAACCACAAGATCAATGGCAGGTTGGTTTAGAGGGTTATAAGGCACGATCTGCTGTTGAGAATGGGAGGGTAATATGTTTAAAGGCTGATCGTGATTGGTAGAAGATTGAGGGGATGATGTATTATCTGATAAGGTATGAGAAGATGGATGGGACGTAGGAGACTGATTGTGAGCTGATAAAGTGTTTGAGAAGGAATGGGATTCTGTAGAAAAATTATGAGAAGAAAACGGCATACCTGAGTCAACTGAAGGTTCCAAGCGAGATGGTATTTGATTAGTAACTAAAAGCCAAGGTGTAGGTGGGGAAGGAGGACTCTTAGTGTCGAACAAACTTGACCCAAGAAACCTTGTGGAATCAAACTTGACATGACGAGCAAGATAGACACGATTGGTTATAGGGTCAAGACACCAATGAGCATAATGGGAGGGACTCGTACCTAAGTAAATACAAGGGATGGAACGAAACAAAAATTTATGATGATTATAGGGTTGAAGAAATGGAAATATGGTGCAACCAAAAGGATTTTTTGCAAGATAATTAGGAGAATTCTTGTAGAGACACATAAAGGGACTTTTATTATGTAGAATAGGAGATGGCAAAATATTAATAGAATTAACACTTTGTTCAGCTGCATAATTCCAATATTTTAAAGGAAGATTAGCATGAGAAAGTAATGTGAGTGTGGTGTCAATGACATGGCGAATTTTTCTTTCGGCAGTGCTGTTTTGTTCATGGGTGTACGGACAAGCTATTCTATGAATGATACCACATTGATGAAAATATTTATTGAGTTTTTGATATTCCCCACCCCAATCAGAATGAAACGCAAGAATTTTGGACTGAAATTGACGTTCAACTAAAGATTGGAATTGAAAAAAACTGGAATAAACATCACTTTTATTTTCAATAGATAAATCCAAGTGAATCGAGTAAAATCATCAATAAATAACAAAATGTACTTATGACCTAAACTTGACATAACAGGAGCAGGGCCCCATACATCAGAATGAATAATTTGGAAGGGACTCGTGCTCCTATGTTCAACAGCGGCTAATGGTAACCTAGATAATTTTCCTAAATTGCAGGCAGAGCACGGATTAAATTGAAAACTTGAGCAAGGTAACTGGAAGTCTTTTATTATTTTAGAAATTGTCCTACGATGTGGATGACCCAAGGCAGAGTGCCAATCAGAAAACGACGGAAGTGTGGCTGTCATGGCAGTTTTGGTAGGTGACTTGAGAGTGTAGATACCATCTTCACTTGGCCCCTGCAAAAGAACTCTCCCGGTGACCTGATCTTTCACATAAAAACAATGAGGCCAAAATTCAAAATAGCAATGATTATCAGTTGAGAATTTTTGAACAGATAATAAATTCTTAATGATTTTAGGAACACACAGAGTGTTTTTAAGAAGAAGAGGACCATTGGAAGAGGGAAGAGTAACCGTAGCAGTATGGGAAATGGGTAGGCCAATGCCATTGCCAACATGAAGGAGATCAGTTCCTTGATAGTCAGAGGCAGCACTTAAGGACTGAATATCAGGTGTGATATGGAAATTAGCAGCAGTATCAAGGTGCCATTGAGTCATAGATGGGGAGGAAGTTGTGTAGTTTGCCATAGGCGATGTTGAAGGATAGTCCGGTGATGGGAGATGATTATAAGGAGGTGGTGTGGGATAATGATACGAATGATTTGCCATAGGTGGTGAATAATGGGAATAATTTTGATGGGAACGGGAGTTTTGATTTGGCCGTTGATAACGACGGCGACATTTGTAGGCAGTATGATTCTGTAATCCACAGATTTGACATGGCCCTTTGGATTTAGAGGATGTATTCCGTTGCTAAGTAGGTGTGGAAGTTGGCGTTGGAATTAAGGGAGGAGAGGGATGGGTAACAGTGTATCTAGATGCCATGTTGGCCCGAGGTGGATCAAGGCAACTTTTGAGAAGTATCTCATGAGCAATAAGTTGACCATGAAGATTCAAGGCAACTTTTGAGAAAGTATCTCATTGAGCAAAAGTTAGACCATAAGCTCATGAAATGGGCAGGTTCAGGTCGAGATTCAAAGCGGTGGTGATAATTGTTATGATATTACACTCAATATTTCTTATGAAATAATGGCAATAAATAATGGCATTGAATTCAGCAGGAGAAAGGGGACGACCGGCAGCTTGTAGTTCATCCTTAATTGCTTTGGCACGTTGAAGATAGGCAGAAATAGAAAGATCATTTTTCTTGAACTTCTGGAGTTTAATGTGGATTTGTAGCTATCGGTTTTGAGAGATGTAACCAAAAGCCTGTGCTAAGGCTTGCCAAACAGCATGAGACGAGTTCAACCCAACAATGTAGGAGAAGACTTCTTCAGAAAGGGAGGAGTGAAGCCAAGAATGTAAGAGTTGGTCTTGTTTGAACCAAGTAACATATTCAGGATTGGGAATCTCAATATCAGGATTAGAGGGAGATTTGATAGTTTTTGGAGGAGGGGAAGAACCATCAATGAGATGATTGAGGGTTATGATAAAGTTTTAAGAGAGGTTGGAACTGTAGTTTTTCCAAAGCTAGATAATTGTGTTTTTCGAGCTTTTTGACAGAAAAGGACCTGCTGGGCATTGGCTGTTGAGAGATAATTGATAGTGTTAGTGTCAACATGGTTGCTTCCTCGATGCACCCGATGTTACAAACAGAAGAAGAAGAAAGTTTTAATTTATTATTGAAAAAATATGCATAAACAATATGTTACAGATATTTAAATTACACTCAAGGAAGTTAGTTCATATACTAAGGAGTTTAATTTATTATTGAAAAATATGATAACAATATGTTACAGATATTTAAATACACTCAATGGAAGTTAGTTCCTAATACTAAGGAGAAATATACTGAAGCTTAACCAAACGAGAATAATCTGCAACAGTTTGAAAATGATTACACATGATTTTCAATATCTACAGTTTGAATATTGTTGATATTATCCAAACTGTTTAACCAAGCAAGGAGTATCTTAACAGCCACATTATAAGGGCAAGGACTAAAAAGGTCAAGGAACCGTTGCGTGAATTGATCAAGAAGATATTTGAGTCTGATGTTGAAGTGCCAAATAAAGAGAAGGAAGCATTACATGGATTGATAAGAAGGTATTTGAGTTTGATGTTGGAGTACCAAATAAAGAGATAAGCTTTAAAAATATCAACGTGATCTAAATATATGAGCATTAAGCCTTGTACTTATTGTTGAGTTTTAATTAGCATAAGAGGGTCTTTTTTTTGAAGTAGATTTTCTTAACATTTAAGTACTTAGCTTTTATGTACTGTGGGTATGAATGTTAGTTTATGCGTTTTATGCAATCGAATTCAAGAAAGTCAAACTCTTTTTAGTTCTTTATAAACTTGTTTTACTTATCAAAAATAAATTAATTTTTCTTGCATTTATTTTTTCACCGTGATATCTTTGGTTTATACTTCTAATTTAAGTATTGAATTAGAATCTATTATTCTATCCGAGAAGAAATTTTTAATTTAGAAATCAGGGTTCCTATTTTAAGATTTAGAGTTTATATATCAAATTTGATTTTACACTTTACGTGACGAGATGTCTCTTCTCTAGATCTAATAGAAGAAGATGAAAAATTGAGATCTTTTAGAAAAGAAATAGAAAAATAAATGCCGTTTTTTTTTTTTTGTTTCATCCAATTTTTTTTTAAAATTATTGAGTTTTTATTAAGAAAAAGGATAATTAGAAATTTTTAAAATTGGAAAATAAAGTAATTAGTGATAACAAATGGACTGAGTTGAAAATAAGGATTAATTCAAAGTGTGATAGAGAATTGAATCGAATGAAAGAAAGATGTGTTTGATTTTCTTGTCCTCGAGGCGATAAACTGATAACGGAAGGAACAGTAGAGAGTGCAGACAAACAAAATGGGCTCCCCACTCATCTCTCTCTTTCAAATAAGTAAAAAACGAAGGTAAAACGGTAATTTTATTTTACCACATTTCTCCAAAAGACAACAACAACACTGAGAGCTAATTCTCTCCCCTCTGTGACCTGTGCGTTAAATGCCAATATAACTATCCATAGACATTTCTTTCCAAGAAAATCAATAATGGCTGAGTCTGGAAACAGCTACAGAAGCAGTAGAAATGGATCATCATCGTCTTCTTCATCATCACCATCATCATCCCCAATAGTCAACATGTCCCCAGACCATCTCTTCACAGTCTTACTTCAACTCCCAATTGATTCGCTTCTTTCCTTTGCCATGACCTGCAAGAGATTCAGGTCCTTGGCAAGCTCTGATACACTGTGGGAGTCCATATGCAAGAGAGAGTGGGGACCTTCATCAGTTGATGCTTTAAAGTCTTGTATCAACAATCAACAGTTGCCATGGATGAGAATATACAAGCAGGTTTCGCAGCTTGACTCAATTTCTTGCCAAAAGCTCACTTTGTCTGAATCTGTAGGTCCATGCCCAAGAGCTTCTCACTCTCTCAACTTTCTTTCTGATTTCTTGGTTTTGTTTGGCGGTGGCTGTGAGGGAGGTCAGCTCAGCTCTTATCTTTCTTTGGGTGCTTTATTTTGCTGCTATTTTTACAATTTTGATTAGTGTTTTTGAAGCATGTAATTGGGTTTTTTTCATTAATCAAGATTGTGTGGTGGTTTTGCTGTTTCTACTTTGTACACACACAACTTCATGGTAAAAAGCTAATACAATTATGGATTCTCAATTGTTAGCCAATCAATAGATATCCAAATATGAAAAAGCCTTATTTCTTTACATCTCATAATCAATAAGTTGTTGTATATATATAGAGAAAGAATTACACCACAACTGTTTGGGATTATTGTAAAACTTAACTTCAAAACTAAACTGATAAAAGCCTTTGTTGGAACTATACATGTATTTGTGTTTAAAAGAATCAATATGTCCCCACTTCAAAATGAAATCACACAAATTTTTTTTTAATTTAGAATCACTTTGTTGTAGCAGGAAACATGGTGTTATTGTTTTGCTATTGTATTTGTTGTCACTGTTTGGCTTTGCACGCTTTATCTGCATTCACTAGACTTTATAGGTCTGAGACAGATACTATCACATTTGATTTTGTATGCTCTATCGCATCATATATGTTTGTGATTTAGATGTTTTTTTTTTTTTTTTCTTGCCCATTTTTATGTGGAATCTTATAAAAATTACGACTTTTAACTGCCAGAAAAAATATTGAAATGTTCTGTTAAGCCAAGTATGTTTGTCCTAATTTCGAGATGTATAACTGTACCTTCTTTTCTTGGTTTTTTGTAGGACGCCACCTTGACGACACATGGGTGGCGTATATTGGGAAAGACTTTCAAAGGGCGATCAAGTGGCAGAAGGTGGAATCAGGAGTTCCAAGTGGGAGATTTGGGCATACATGTCTTGTCATTGGCCATCATCTTGTTCTATTTGGAGGGATCAATGACTGTGGGATCCGTCAAAATGATACATGGGTTGGGCAACTAGTTGTCAGTGATAACCTTTGTATTTCGCTCTCATGGAGGCTGCTAACAGTGCAATCACTTGCGCCACCACCTCGAGGGGCTCATGCTGCCTGTTGCATTGATCAAAGGAAGATGGTTATCCAGGGGGGAATCGGGGTATATGGAGTTAGATTGGGTGATACCTGGGTTTTGGAACTTTCAGAAAATTTTTGTTTTGGAACATGGCGCGAACTTGTGACTCATCCATCACCTCCTCCTCGTTCAGGACATTCATTAACTTGTACTGGGGGAACTAGAATGGTCTTATTTGGTGGAAGAGGAGTGGGTTATGAGGTGTTAAACGATGTCTGGCTCTTGGAGATATCTGAAGATCAGCTAAAATGGGTACAGTTGCTCTATGAGTTACAAAACATACCTGATGGAATCTCCCTTCCCCGAGTTGGCCACTCTGCTACAGTAATTCTGGGGGGTAGGCTGCTAATCTATGGAGGTGAAGATTCATACAGGCATAGGAAGGATGATTTTTGGTTGCTAGATATTAGTTCAATTGTATCTTCTCGAGTCCAAGCAACTGCAATGCAAGCAAAAATGTGGAGAAGACTGAAAACAAAGGGTTATAAACCTAACCGCAGGTCATTCCATCGAGCATGTGCTGATCATTCAGGGCATTACTTGTATGTGTTTGGTGGGATGGTAGATGGCTTACTTCCGCCTTCTGAAGCATATGGGTTGAGGTTTGATGGAGAGCTTTTCCTTGCAGAACTTGGAACTCTGCTTTAGAAAGGAAAACAAAAGGTACTACAAAAGGTACTAAGCTATAATTGAATAAGTTTTGAGAATGCTAATTTTGCATATATACCTCATTAGCTGCTGTGCATAGGGTTCATGCATCAATGTTCATAGAAATAAGTGGCTTTTTAGGGCCTGTTAGTGATGTCAAATCAATTTTCTGAAGACCAAGAAGAGCAGGTTCAAGTGTGTTGGACGTGACAGTTAGATAGGATTAGCTTACATTCTTGTACAATGCAATGGTTAGGAACTGAAGAATAATTAATATTAATGTAAGAGAACCTGTCTCCAGTTTATCTCTTAATGACATTAGTTATAACAAATATTTGGTTAATCTAATGCATGCTCTTCAAAAGTGAGGCTATCATTTATGATAAAATTTAAAGCAATTTCCTAGAATTTTTTACTATATTTTTAGTACTTATATACAATTCCTCTAGAAACCTGATATCGTTTATTTATTTAATAAATGATCTAATTTTAGTATGCAAACAGAAGTTGTAGCTATTTAAAAAGATAACTTAATGTGGGAAAAACATTTTCTTAAAAAATGACTTATCCTTTTTGTTTTTTGGTTGATGTATTGAAAACCAACTCAAACCTATTCTTCGAGTTTTGAAATAATAATAATAATAATAAATAATATTTTTCTTTCAATTTACAGTTTTTATGAAACAAGTAACTACATAAAATGAAAATTTGAACACGTGATATTTGATAATATATAATAAAATATATTAAGGAATAATATATAAATTAAGGGATATTTATATTCCTAAATGTTCTCTAACTAGTAGATAGTGGAGATTCTCTACTATCCTTATCCAAATCTAACTATCCCTCCTCCTTTATAAATACTGGATAAGAAAACTTCTGGCCCTTTAACAAATTCTACTTTAGAAAGATTATAAAACCTAAGTCTAATTCTCTGGAGATTAACAAATTGGTATGATGAGCGCGGAACATACTTTTGATTTTCACTACTTTCAGTTCTCCCTATTCATATCACCATGGCTAATGGATCTATAAACCTCCCTAACATTGAAGGTTAAGGCGATAGTCACGACAAGGCTGACAAACATAATATAATGCCACCTCCACAAACAGCTGATCCTCATATTGCGGCGGCTCCAGCCCAAGCTTGCGCACAAAGAAACTAACGTCAAGGGGAGCCTAACATATTCTTGCCTCCATCCGAAAAACAAATACAACCAAACTCTGAATATTCACCTGAGGTAGAGTCAGATGTGGACCTCAGCATACTTGCTCCACATAACCAAGATTAGAGCCACAAAGCAAGTTGCTGACGACACTAATCTTAGAAACGTAGTCAAAGAATCGTTCAAAGAGTGCAGAAAATAAGAAGATGTGAAAGATTATGGTTTTAGGGAAAACTCACCCACGTCCACCAGTATCTTAGGGGCAGCATTGAAATAATCCAAAATTAATTTTCAAAGAGTTTTCATTTAAAAATTTAATTTTTAACTGCAACCAATGGAATCATTCAATGAAACTTAAAAGGGAATATTTTGTTATTATTAAACCGGACCTGTAAATCAGTTGAAATCCTCAAACCAGATGAAAAACTTATAAAACAGTTGAGAACCAGACTAAATCGCTGAGTTGATCAAACCAGTTCAAATCGAATCAGAATTACACGGTGTACGCTAGAAGTTTCCTTTTCTTCCTTCTCTTTCTTTCTTTTTTTTTCATCTCCTCTCGTTCTATTGAGCAGCACACAGCCACTCTCTCTCTCCTCCTCTCTTGTTTCCAGCCACCACCTGAGCTAGTCGACGCTACCTCCTCCTTGTCGTCACGCCGTTAGACTCTCTCTCTCTCCCCTTCCTTGCTGTTTCAACGTCACGAGCAAGGGGAGCTGCAATTTCGATCGAGAGCTCGCTCCTTTCTCTCCTTCTCATTTTGCAAGCGACTCCAGAGCGAAACACGGGTACTAGTCGACTTCCCTCCTCCCTGTGAACAAATCCCCTGAAGAGATTCGAGCTTTCGCCGGCGTATTGAAGAGCTGCCATTAACGATGGGTCTAACGTGACTGTCCAGCCGTTCCAGCCAATTAGAGGCCGGTCTCGTCCAACTGACACCAAATATGAACTCCTGAGTAATATTCGAGCAAGATATTGTGAAGAACGCTCGGTTCTGAGAGAGTCACGATTTTTTGTCCATCGTAAACGGCGCTGCCGGTGGCAGTTTGGCGATTAGCCGACGATTTCCGGCGAGACCCCGGGAGGCAGAACTCGAGATGTACACTGAACTTGAATCTGAAATCCGATTTTTAATTAGTATAATTTAAGATTCAATTTATCAAATTTAATGTAAATTTCAATTTGAAAATTATTGTTATTGGATTAAAATAATTTTGATTAAAGTAATTAAGGATTAAGTATAAGATATGGACCTCATTAAATTGGACCAAATTATAATTGCCACCATAAAAATAAATTGAGAATTTGATAAATATGAGGTTAATGTGGATTTTAGATTATATTAATCTTAATTTAATTTAAGCTAAGATCCATTAAGGATTATAAACCAAATAAGGAAACAAATTGAATATTTAGTGTTATACGAGTTATTTGGGAGACAAAAAGTTATTTAAGTTTATGTTATATATGGATTAAAATGATGGACTAAAAGAAGTATTAGATTTAGTAGCTAATCTCGGATTTCACCGAAGGATATTACTTTTTGAGTAAAATGATCAGATAAGGAATTGTTTATATAAGAGATTTGTTATTTGATGACTAGTAGAGGAAATAAATCAAATAGAGATTAATAAAAAATGTAAGAGGATTTTTTGGGATTAGATTAAAGGTTATTTTACTTTATAAGTTAAGAGTTGACTATGAAATTTCTATTTATGGTAAATGGATATTAGAGTTATTGATTGCTCGATGAAAGGGCTATGTGAGTAATGATTAATATGTATAGTTAATACCTTAACAAATAGAAAGTTCTATTGGAGGGGAAACACTATCAAGAATGCCGATAAGATTTAGATTAATTAAGCAGTCCAATATCTAAGCAAATATATGCTTGGTTAATTATTATTTAATGAAGGTCATCTATTTAATACAGTCTTTCCTTTATATTTGTGTTTTATCTAGATTGTCCAAGTTTGTCTATCACTCCTACTAGTCAAAATTCAAATGGAGGCTTGCTCCTTCTTTTATCACTGTGAGTAATAATAAATTATGTACACCATTATTTGCATACATATTTAAACCATTTCACATTTTATAAATATACATGTATACAAATGATATTTATCCTTCACTCTTTTAATACTGTATTATAATAATAACACTACTTACATTATGATCTATCATATAAATTATAAAATTATAAGCATATAAGAATTATATAGTTATATACATTCCATAGTCATACTCATGTGTTTATTGATCTCCTATGCAATTTACTATGTTATATGAGTAGAATGGATTACTTGCGATATGTCTAAACCGTGGTTTGTTTATGTGTGAAATTGGAATGAACTGAATCTTATGGCAAAACCACAGGCTGGACTCCTGTTAGTAATAGAAAGAAAGAGATAATGGAAAAACAATGTGAGGACTGGTCAAGTGAGGAATAAACCAGTTGATTGTATGGGGGATCGGCTCCTCGGCTCATACTTTGGGGATGAGCTCGGTCCGTAGTGGGGGATGGACTCCTCGTGCCCCGATAAAGGGATGGACTCCTTTATCGTGAAATATGATTATCAGATTACTTGTGAAATGAGAAAGTAATAATGCCACTGAGTAACCTTTCCTTGATGTGACTGTTTGAATGTGATATTATTGTGGTTGTTGATGATGAGTCATGCGCTTGGTTGCATGAATGCTCACTATATAAAGTTGAAAAGCATTTTGCGTGACTGTTTGAGTTATGCATTAATTATTATTATTCACTGAGTTTATGAAATTCACCCCTCTTTCCTTAAATCTTCCCAAGAGGTAGACACTATGCTGGTTCAGATAAGCTCTGCTTCTTTCTCCGCAGATTTACAACAGTGATTTCTAATTATGAGTAATGTTTAGCAAATAAGATAATAGGTGTAAAGTATACTCACACCTATATATTTGAGCTCTGCAGTTAGGGAGTCATGTAATACAAATTACTTTGTAAAAGTTATTTGTGTATTGTTCAATAACCACACCTATATAATTTGAGCTCTGCAGTTAGGGAAGTCATGTAATACAAATTACTTTGTAAAAAGAAGTTGAAAAGCATTTTGCGTGACTGTTTGAGTTATGCATTAATTATTATTATTCACTGAGTTTATGAAATTCACCCCTCTTTCCTTAAATCTTCCCAAGAGGTAGACACTATGCTGGTTCAGATAAGCTCTGCTTCTTTCTCCGCAGATTTACAACAGTGATTTCTAATTATGAGTAATGTTTAGCAAATAAGATAATAGGTGTAAAGTATACTCACACCTATATATTTGAGCTCTGCAGTTAGGGAGTCATGTAATACAAATTACTTTGTAAAAGTTATTTGTGTATTGTTCAATAAACTTGTGGACCTTCTAATTGACTTTCTAAGAGTATGATTGGTCCAATTTGCCCATATTGTGGACGATGTAAATAGTATATGAAATACAGGGTCGAGCTATGAATTATTTAAAAAATGGAAGCTGGGCCAGAGATATGATTCGATAGTATGATTTAATATTGTCGTATTATGGGCTTATTGTTCCTGGAATCGGCTTTAAAGAAATGGATTAAAGTGAGTTAGGCTTACTACAGGCCTCGAGGGCCTTAAACTTACCTGGGCCCTAGTGCCGGTCAGGCCCACGGTTTTGGGTCGTGACAAGTACTCCCATCGAAGTTCAAAATACCCAACTTCTAATCCTATGACGGATCCATCGACACTGCAGTCACTTGATAACTTTGCAAACCATGATGTATCTACAAACCAATTCTGAAGACATTATATGCAAGGTCTTCCCTATCACCCTTAAAAGGCGCACTCAAGAATGGTATCGGACTCTCAAAATAGGATTCATCCAATCATTCCCTCAATTAGCAACTACATTCCAAGCTTGATTCATAACAAGCGTACCATCCAGAAAAATCTCATCCGACCTAGTGAATGTAAAAAGGGAAGAAGGCGAGCCATTAAGACAGTACGTCTCAAGTTTCCAAAGCAGAGCCATGCAAAATGAGAACCTGAATAATGAAGTGGCAATCAGCGCTATGACGAAGAACTGTAAATACAACAAACTATTTGGAAGCCTGAGCATTGACCCTTCTATAACTTTTGCAAAGCTTATAGCTCAAGCTCATAAATACACAAAGTTGGATGAACCCTATGGGGCTCAACACTGAAGATCAC